AGAGAGAGAGAGAGAGAGAGAGAGAGACAGAGAGACAGAGAGAGAGACAGAGAGACAGAGAGACAGAGAGACAGACAGAGAGAGAGAGAGAGAAACACAGAGAGAGAGAGAGAGAGAGAGAGAGAGAGCCCAAGGACAATCTGAAGAGTTAGTTCTACCCTTCCACCATGTGGGTCTGAGGGATTGAACTCAAGTCAGAAAGCTTGGCAGCAAACACTTTACCTGCTAGGCCATCTTGCCCGCCCTGAAATCCATTTTCATAAAATATTTGTTCCACTGAGAATACCCCAAATATGACTTGCTTAGCATGTAAGAAATACACAATAGCATGACAGGATAATTTATATTTATTTTTGCATCACTGCAAATACCCGAGGGGAGTCACTCATGCCAAGGCCTGAATGTTAGGTGAGCAAATGGCGACCACCTCCATCACTTCAGAAAGTGTTGTGGGCAGTGCTGTTTAGGGCAGTCAGAGCCAGTGACCACTGGGCCTGAGACTGACCTTCCAGCTCACACTGTGGGGCCATGAAGTCATAGTCCTTCACAGACAGGAAGGGGGCCGAGTGGAAAGCAGAGAGTGAGTGTAGAGGTGGCCTGGGATGACAGGGGTGTTTATGGAATAACCTGTGGTGGAATAGACGTTTGTTTAAATATGTAAAGGCATGCTCCATTTGTTTGTGCAGCAAAATATTTAACTACGTAAAGATGTGTTGCATTTGTTTTACTTACCTGCCTAAGGCACCTGACTGATTTAGTAAAAGGCTGAACAGCCAATAGCTAAGCAGGAGAGCGATAGGAGGGGCTGGCAGACAGAGAGAATAAGTAGGAGGAGGAATCTAGGCTTGAGGGAGAACCAGGGAGAAAAAGAGGAAGACATTTGGGACCAGTCAGCCAGGCAGACACCAGCCAACCAGACAAGGAGAAAGAAACAGGAAAGTAAGACATAGCAGAATGAAAGAAAGGTAAAAAGCCCGGAGGGAAAGCATAGAAGAGGAGAAACAGGTTAAAATAAGTTATAAGAGCTGGTGGGACAAGCTTAAGCTAAGACTGAGCATTCATAACTAATAATAAGTCTGTGTGTCAGGATCTGGGGGCTGTTGGTCCAAGAAAGCCTGCTACAGTGACCCCCACACCAGCCACTCAGCTGCTGTTGTTACTTCATTGTTTATATCTGGAGTCAGGATCACACTGTGTAGCCCAGGCTAGCCTGACAAGCCTAACTCCTGATCATTCTGCCCCAGTCTCCCAAGCCCTCTAGGATGACAGGTGTTCACCACCACATCCAGCTTGGGATTTTATTTCCCAAGAGAGATAGGAACCCAGACTCATAGGTGTCTAAATGGAGGCAAAGGAGGGAGAAGAAAGCCTTGGTGGGCACTGCTGTGGGGCTGGGGAGCACTCTGACAGGGCGAGCCATGCACCATGACAGTTGAGTCCGTACCTTCCAGATCCCCCTCCTCCTCCCCACCCTGTGCTGTGAAGTGACCTGGAAAGGCCACACAGAAGGCTCTGTGTGTTCCGGTTTCTGTTGGTGGGGCATATGGGATTGTATGTGCCAACTTGGCCAAGCCATGGTACCAATAGTGGTTTAGCATTATTCTGGATGTTTCTGTGAGGCTGGTTTTGACTACCTTAACATTTAGGTCAAGGACTTAGAGTAAAATCTATGGCCCTCAGGATAGGGGTGGGCCTGGTCCTATCAGGGAAGGGAGAGCCTGAAAAGAAGAGCCACGGTAAGGGGCCTGCGGCAGATGGCAGTCTTCCAATCCCAACTCCCAGTTTGCCAGTCCCCAACTCCCCATCTTGGAGGCAGCAGGTGTGTCTTCACTGCGAGCCTACCCCTAAAACACATCTTCTTTCTCTTTTCCCTTCAGTGAGGTGTAGCAGACATCGCCACCTGAGATTTCACCATTTACAGTTTCTGTCAGCCACAGACCACAGCCCTCAAACGTTAAATGAATCAGAACTGAGAATCTCAGCTCCTGTTCTGAGTGCAGTTTCTCACCAAGGTCCAGACTGGACCTGGGAAGCCACCTGATGAGGGGCCCTAGAGGGTCAGTGACTACTGGCATCATTCCAGCCCCAGGTGAGTTCTGTTACTCTGTCATCATGTTTAGCCAGCCCCCAGCAATGCCACAGGGCCTTTGCTCATGTTCTTGGGGTTGCTGAGGTGCTGGGGCCTCCACAGAGCTCTGCCCAAAGGTAGAAGTGCAAATAAACAAATGAGTCCCAAGGCCACACTGCTGGGGGGTGGGGCGTGATGGGGACGTTATTGGGCAGGTGCAGATGATAAACCCAGCTGGCATTGGCTTGTTTGTCCTTTCTGAGCTCTGGCACTCCTGGCAGGCTCCAGATGAGCCCTAGTGTATTTCCTGTGACTCAGTCTCCCCCGTTCCCACACCACCACGGTGAGGGCCTCTGTCAGTGCCCCGCCCTCCCGCCTCAGATCTCTTTTGTTGAGAATGCACAGCCAGACAGTAAAGGGGACCAATGACACCCTGGGGACCAGTCCTGGGAGAGATGAGGATAGCTGCCATAGGAAGGGACAGATGTTGAACTTTCAAGACCCAGTGGATAGCCCAGAACCTGAGGTCATTAGGTCATTGTCCCATGTTGTTCATCCTCCTCCAGACTGCCCACCGCCCCCGTATTCTCCTTCCCACAGAGCTATGAGTGTCTGGCCATTGTGTCAAACTTCAACCCAATGCCACCTCCTCAAAGGAGCCCACCTGAAGCCCACAGCCTGAGTCAGCTCATCATGTGGTCATTTAGACGGTGACTGTCATCGAGCCTATGTTTAGTGCCCCACTCTTGTTCTTCCTGCTACATTTTCCAATGTAGCCAGCGCATCACAGGCTACGTGCCTGCTGACTGGACCAAGGTGAGGAGTAAAGAAGGCACGGAGGGCAGGTTCAAACCTGCAGTCAGTTCACAGATCAAACAGTTACTGAACACTGGCTGTGTGCCAGAACCTGGTCCAGACATCTGAGTCACATCAGAGCCAGAGAATGGCTTTTGCTGTTTCTACTGTACAAGGTGAGGAGGGGAATAAACAAAATAAATATGCTGGGTGGTGGTGGCACACGTCTTTAATTCCAGAACTCCAGGAGGCAGAGGCAGGTGGATCTCCGTGAGTTAGAGGACAGCTGGTCTACAGAGTGAGTTCCAGGAAAGCCAGCGCTGTTGCACAACACAGAGAAACCCTGCCTCGAAAAACCAAAACATAAAAATAAAGCGTAAAAATAAACTCCACGGCATCCTGAGAGCTGAGGAAGTGTAAGTGTGCACAGGGGACAGCGCAGGAGGGGAAGTCGGAGGCCAGTTTTGCAGAAGTTCTAGACCAGCAATCTGGGGTTTCATTCTGAAAGGTCAAGAATGATCATATCCAGTATTGACCAACATTCTTTATTTGAGCGCATTTTTGATCAGCAGTATCAGAAATCATGAATCCTGTGGTCACAAGGCCATGGGCTTCTGAGTATGTGGTCCCCGTCCCTTAAGAGACACCACCATCCATTTCCGGAGGGCTGAAGCTGATTCAGTCTGGTAGTGTCACCTCCAGCTCAGGGCCCCCACCACCTCAGCACTGGGAAAGCCCTCTGACTCACTTGTGCCTTATCAGAAAGTGTCCAACCCCAGGATGTCCACCCTCAGAAGGAAGTGAGGGCTCCACCCCCGGGTGTCAGCAGAGTTCCAAGCTACCCGCTGTCCCCACCCTGTGCCATTCACAGGATACCAGAAGCTTAAGCTGGGAATAAGGACAGCAACTGTCTGCTGCCCGGCTCCAGCCTCTGCTGGCAGGATATGGCGGGGTCTCCGTCTGCATACATGTTACAGTATGCTTCCTGGCTCCAGTCTCTGCTGGCAGGATATGGCAGGGTATCCGTCTACATATATGTTACAGTATACTTCCTTTTTTGCCATGGTTTTCTTCAAGGCTTCCACCTACTTTCACATTTTTCTCTCATCCCTGAAGACTGTAGCCTTTGCAATTTAGACATATTGACCATATGGGGTGGAAGTGGAAAGGCCAAACCCAGCTGTGGGGGTAAGAAACAGCTGGTGGTCTGCAGCCATGACCACTCCCAAGGGCCACAGATGGGAGGGGTCCTAGACGGATAATGGGGGCCCATCCAGCATGGCTTGACCTAGAGTTATAGCCTAAGGGAATCAGATGAGAAAAGAGAACCCAAGCATCTTGGGTAGACAGGTGAGCGGGGGGTTTCTCAAACCCCTGTGGTGTGCTTGGGGGGCTAGAGAAGCAGCAAAGAAACTCCCAGAGGCCTGCGTCCTCCCTCTGCCTCAGGGAATGGAAGACAACCTCTGGCTGCTGGGCAGACAGATAACAGAAAAGGCAGAATTCAGTCTGCGGTGAACATCTGTAACATCTGGCCCTAAGCTTTGCAGCCACAACGCCTCCCCCAGCAGAGTGGTGATGTCTTCAGAAACCTAAAGTCAGTGGCAGCCATAAGCACGGATAGCTCCCAACCCCAGGTGTGCACGACAAATGCCATTTCAGGTTTGTTCCTTGTGGCTGAAGTGGATTACCTGGCACCCTAACCACAGGATGAGCTCAGTGAGAAAAGCCTGCTCCTCAGACAGCAGATCCAGGAGATAGCTGGCTTTGAAATGCTTTGAGAAAGAGAGAAGGTGCCGCAGACAGTGAGTTTGAGCCCCAGGTCATCCTTGCTTGCTGCCTCCTATCAGATTACAGAAAAGAATTGCTTGATCAGCTTGTAGGTCCTAGCAACAAGTGACAGCAACTGCCCTTGGGGAAGGCCCAGCCCAAAGGGAAATCCCCATCAGGCTCAGAGGATTTGAACTGTGCTGTTGGTCAAGGCAGGTGGCAGGGTGGTGGCGTTGGCAGAGTGGGTGACAGCCCAGTCTGGGAAGGTACCCAGCTGGAAGATGGTCTGTGCCCAGGTGTTCATGGCCAGGCTGAGCAGCAGGACACCCATCAGGTTCATCAGGAGGCCAGTCCGCACCTACAGAGGAGACAGAGTAAGCAGAGCAGCAACGCCCTCAGAGCAGATGGGAGACGGTGGCTTGGTCCACAGCTGGCAGTGCACAGCTGGCTGAGCCCACAGCTGACTCGGCCCACAGCTGGCAGTGCACAGATGGCTCGGCTCACAGCTGGCAGTACTGAAGCCAGCCACAAGTGTAGATGCTTTCCCGGACCCAGGCTGGCCCCCAGGTCAAGCGACCCCTCCACTGAGGGTCTCTTACCAAGCACCTGGCTACAGAGTGGTCTTGGGTTAAGCCCATTAATCACAAAGGCTACTTCGGCAAGGCTATCAATTCCTCTTTAAGACAGAGAAAGCCAAGCCTTGCCCAGTAGTCCCATTTAATCATCATGCCCCTACCCATACTCAGAATAACCATGTAGACACAAACAGCACAGGTATACACACATGTTCATATGCACACACAAAAACAGATGTTCACATACACACATACAAGTGCACAAACTGGAGACAGAATTGAGACAGGGTCTCATGTAGTTTAGGCTGGCCTCAAATTCACCCTGTAGCTGAGGTTGGCCTTGAACTCCTAATCTTCTTGCCTTTGCCTCCCAAAGAGCTGGGATTACAGCTGATTTTCTATACTCTCCCTATCTGATGTTTCCACCAACGTATTTAGACAGTGTCTTGGTTTATGACTTTCTCTGTTCTACTACTATGAAACTTCATAAAGCTGTTAGCACACTGAAACACACATTTGGGGCCCCTGACATCTGTGTTCCTGGGCCATGCTCACTTACATTTGGCTCCAGAATAAACTGTCTCTTCTCCTCACTGAGGTAAGAGCTGTTTTTGCTTTGACAGCTGCAAGTTTAAGGCCAGCTAGGCTCACAGAGTGAGACATCTCAATTGTTCCAGGCCTGTTCCCTGGAAGCCCAGACTCTGCATCTAATAACATCATTCCGCTCAAAACCCACCCAGACCCAGAGGTCATGGCTCTGTGTATCTCGTGACATGGAGTGAAACCATTTCCCCACTTTAGACATCTGCACAGGCTGGGCTCTCTGCTTGGACAGCCCCTCACCCCTCCACCCCTGCCATGGCTCCTTGCAAGGCTGGTAAGTCACCTTTACAGAGGGCCATCTTACCCACCCATCATTCTCTCCCGATCCCCAGCATCTTGTATCATTTTTCACTTAGCAGTTATGAAATTCACATTATTTTTAACACATGAGGAGTAAGTAGTCTTCCAGTGGGCCTCCAGCCACAGAAAGTATCTTCCCAGGAAGCAGGTGGCTGTCTCTCCTTCACTGCTGCCCCCCAGTGGCTGGAACACAGACTACACTGGGCAAACCAACTAAGGAAAGAGTTCTGGATTCCCCAGCCTCACTCTGTCCCCGTTTATCCTGTTGGGGTCTCATGTCTGGTTCGGTAGGCTGACCTCAGCTGTGTGAGCTGAAGCTGCATGGAGCGGTGGCTAGGGACAGAGGGAGAGGAGGAAGAAAAAGTCAGAGAAAAGGGAGTATAGAGGAAGAAGAGAATAGAGGAAGAGGGGGAGGTGAAGAAGAGGAGAGGAGAAGGCAGAGGGAGATCCAACCGGGGCCATGGAATAGCCTGGCAATGCTGGCTCCTCTGGCCCTCCACTCACCCCTCCCCTTGCCAGACCATTGCTGGGAAGTCACACCTACCATGTCTTTGACCAGCAGGTGTCCACTGGCGAAGGCAATGGAGTTGGGGGGCGTTGAGACTGGCAGCATGAAGGCATAGGAGCAGCCGACTGTGCCTGGGATCATCAGGTACAAGGGATGCACATGAAGCCGGATAGCCTGTTCCAAAGAAGTCACAGTAAGAGACTGAGGCCGTTTGGAAAGAGAGTGTCAAAGATACAGAGATTGTCAGAGTGGCAGAGAACAGTAGAGACACATAAGGTGAGAGACAGAGACAGAGAAATGCTGCCAGACACAAACACACGACAACCAGGCTTAGAGAAACCATCAGTAATGACAGGGCCACCCTGCATTTTACCAGGGAGCAGGCAAAGAAACTTATTTAGAACCCCCTTCCCATGTGAGCGAGCTTGTAGTCCTAGCTCCTCCAGAGTAACAAACAGTTCCAGAGGTCTGAGTGGGACCCAAGCCACTGCATCTCTCACATGCTCTCAGGAGCCCAGGATGCAGCTGGTTCAGGGCTGTAGGCCAAGAACTAAAGCACACATAAGCAGACTTGGCTCTGTGATCGTAGAAGCTGCTGTGGAGCACCTTTGGTCAGAGCCTGGCTAGAGTTGAGAGACCAAATGGGCTTCCCCCTGGCGAGCACTGCCTCGTTCCTAATATGGAGAGTTCAGTGTGAGCCGGTCTTAGAGGCTACCTACGCCACCTAGAGTGTAGGCATTTTCTTGATAGGCTCTACCTCTCCCCAGTCAGTAGATATTTTGATTTTGATGAGAAGCCATATTTAAAAGCGAATGTCCTTTGTTGGTACCTTTTCTAGAAACAACCAGCTACAGACTCAGCGGGCTTGGAGCTCCTTCCCCTCCTCCCTACCAACTCATACCATCCCTATTTCCACCTATTACCAGGTGCCCTAGACTCTAGAACAGGGTCTGACTAACCCAGTCCTACTCCTCAAGGGCCTAAGGACTCCCGGATGCCCCTGAGGACTCCCAGATGCTCCTGAGGAGGGCAATTCGCTCTCATCTTGCACAGTTTCCAGTACCCATGCTCTTTCACCTAGGAAATCCCAGGTGAGCCTTGTCTTGATGTAAGTGGCCTGTGCACACAAGGGAGGACCAGCGCTGCTCGTAATCACTTTCTGAAACTGTCTGTCTGTATGTCCATTAGGACAGTGCTTAAACAGTCTACGCATTTACAGTGGAATCTGTTTCAGGGGTTGAAAAAAGAACACACATAAGTCTGTGGCTGATACAGTGTCAACTCCATTAAAAATGGAAACATAAACAGAGATAAGGAGATGAAGCCAAACCACCTCTTAAGGTGGATACCTCACTGTTTTGCTTTGTCTGCTTTGGGTTGATGCCCTATTGCTTGCTTTTCTTCAGCATTTAAATATAAAACTAAATAGTGATTTTCCGAGAACCCCTCCCCCCTCTATTTATTTATTTATTTATTTAATTTATTTTGAGATGGAGTTTCTCTATGTAGCCCTGGCTGTCCTGTAGCTTGCTATGTAGACCAGGCTGGCCTTGTATTTACAGAGATCTGCCTGCCTCTGCCTTCCAAGTGCTGGGATTAAAGGTGTGCATCACCAGATCTGGCTTTTAAGTCCTAGTATGAAATCTACACACTGGCAGCTTGTGCCCTTAGCTGGTCCTGACTGGATTTGGCCACCCTTTCTCCTGCTTTGCTTTCATTTTGCCTGGTTTCCTCAGGATTTTGCTGAATCCATAATAGATTGCAGGGCCATCTGCATCTTTCTGTGCCCTGGGAGTGGCTGGGGTGAGGCGAGAGCTCAAAGATAGAAAGTTTGCTGCCTCTTGCCTAGCAAAGGAGGGTTCTGACTGCCCCCCACCCCCCAGCCCAATCCATCTGAGACTGGTGACTTTTAGAACAGAGGTCTCAAGAGGATGGGACTTGTCCTCCAGGAGACTGTTGGCAATGTCTGGTGACATTTCAGATTGCCTCTGTTATGGGGTGCTGCTGGCCTCTGGTGAGTGGAAAATGCAGAATGCTCTGATACCCCACAATGTGCAGGGCAACTCTCATTGCAGAAAATTATTGGTCTAAAACAGGAGGCAACTGTACTGTGGTTGGGCTTTCTGCTGTGCTGGTCTGGCAACTCAAGAGCTTCCATGTGACCCAAATTTGTCAATCTTTCCCTTCCTAAGAAACATAGCATGTCCTCACGGGTTACTTCTCCCATAAAGAAACTTGCTGCACTTTGAAAATTACCCGCTTAGGTGTTCCTTTAAGGAAGATAACCCTGTCATTTACGAACTAGCTCTGTAGTTCAGACTCTCCCGTGAGTTCTAGAGGCAAGCAGGGCAGCTGGGGCTGCCTAAGGGAACACTGTAGCAGAGGGCGCTGAGTTGGGAGTTGAGCCGGGGTGCCCCTTCACCCTGTCCCAAGGAGATCCTCACCAGCTCTGCTAGGACAGGCAGGAAGATGATGATGGTGGCTGTGTTGCTGGCAAACTCTGTGAAGAAGGCGATGACCACAGTGATGAGCAGAACGGCCAACACCGGGGGCACGCGTTCCAGAGGGTGCAGCTGCCCACCGATCCATGCTGACAGCCCCGACTCCTGTGGGCAGACATGCCTTCGGTCTCAGTCCACCCAGCACCACTAATGCACAGGCAGCCACTAATGCAAACTCCTCCAATACATGTTTTACAGGCTATAGCCCAGACCCCTGAGACTCCACGATCTATTTGGTTAGAAAGCAGAGTCTCTGTTTCTATTTGGGTTCAGCATCCAAAGTTTCAGTTTGAATGGGAGAGGGAACCAGACAGATGCTTACAGCCAGGTTTCATTTCTCCAAGGATGATCACCACTTAAAATGCCTTCGATTTCTTCCATAAAAGACTAAGTATTGTTACTACATGGTGGCACATTAATGTGTAAAAAATTAATTCTATTCCATATACTATTCATAATATGGAACATATGTAATGGTTACTTTTGCCAACTTGACACACTCCAGAACAATGTTTCTCAGCCTTCCTAAAGCTGAGACCCTTTAATACAGTTCCTCATGTTGTGGTCATCCCCAACCATAAAATTATTTTGTTGCTACTTCATAACTGCAATCTTGCTACTGTTATTAATCATAATGTAAATAAGCTTTTTTGACATTAGCATGATCTTTGGTGACCCCTGTGAGAGGGTTGTTCAACTCCCAAGGTTGAGACTCACTGCTCTAGAGCCACCTGGGAAGAAAGTCTCACTAGGGATTGTCTAGATCAGGCTGTCCTGGGGCAAGTGTGTAGGGGACTGTTTTAATGATGTCATCGATGTGGGGAGAAACAGTCCACTTTGGGCAACATCATTCTCTTGGCTTGGGTCCTGGACTTTGTAAGAGTAGGGAAAGCAAGCTGGGCACAAGTGTGCATGTATTCATTGCTGTCTTCTGACTACAGGCAAAATGTAACCCGCTTTCCTTAAGTCCCTGCTTTGATTTTTCTACTGTGATGGACCATAATTTGGGATTGGGAGTAGAAATAAACCCATTCTCCCCTAAATTGCTTTTGTCAGGGTATTTTTTATCACATCAACAAGAATGGAAACAGAGACAGCATGTATCTGATATATCAAACAGTGTGATTAATGATAGACTTCTGAGCAGCCCTAAGGATTTTTATTACAACAACAATAACATAGAAACCAACATTAACATGGTATCATTAGTCACCATCCTAAGCATCATTGTCAAGGCTGGGCACCTGCTGGCTCCTGCCTACCATCCTGTCCCTATTTTGCTGAAGAGGAAAAATTATTTTGACTTGCCCATGGCCCCATAGCAGTGACTGAGATACCTACCTGAATCTGTATGAACTTCTAGAAATTTCCCTGTCATCTCCATCTTCCTCTGGAGGAACTGTCTGTCACTTAACTCTTAATTAAGAGCAATGCCCACCTAGGTGTGCCTATAATGTCAGTACTTGGAAGGCAGAGGCAGCAAGATCCCTTGGCAACATAGAGAGTACCAGACCGGCTTGGTACTGTCTCAAAGCAAACGAACAGCATAAATCAAAGCAAAACGAAACAAAGGAAGTGCAATGTCCAAAGTGAACCATGGTTTCTGGGGCATGGAAGGGCAGGAAGCCCCCCACCCCCTGGACTTCTCTCTCTAACCAACACCACACAAATGTCAGGGTACCCTCTCTACTGACCTCTCCAGGAACTAGCTTGGTTAACAGTGTATCACATACTCTCTGCCACCATCATATCTATCAAAGACACCTGTCCAGGCCAGCCTCTTTAAGACCTCAAAGCTGATGGTCCTTTGAGTTCCTTGCAGCCCCCTGGTGGAGCCATTCAGCAAGGTGTGGGTAAGCGTGCAGCCAGTAGGGACCCCACCCCTACCTTAGGGCTTTTCCTGAGAAAGTTAACAGTTTAGGTTTAGGGACAATCCAAGGCAGAACTGATATGGGCCCAAACACTGAGAATTAAATGCTTGCCAACCAGTGCCCAATAACAACCTGGCACCCTCAGGGCCAGGGCACATCATCCATGAGAGGTGCTTGATGGCTGCTCTGTGTTGAGTGAAACAGTCACTGCTCAGTCTGAAGTTATATTCATTATTAATTTATTTACTTTTGCAATACCAGACACAGAACCCAAGTGCTATACCACTGAGTTCTATCTCAAGGCCAGACTTTCCTTTTATACTTTGGGACTAAGTTGCCCAGGCTGGCTTTGAACTCACTCTGTAGCCCAGGCTAGCCTTTGACTTTTGATTTCCCTACCTTAGTCTCCTGAGTAAATGGAATTGCATGCCTGGGTCACCATATCTGGCTTCAGAAGCTGACATTTCTCCGTGGATTCTGGGTCAGAGTTGTCTAGACAGAACAACACATTCGCTCTTCTCGGATCTACCTTAGAAGTTATTTTCAGGGCCTGAGTAACAAGAGCTTAAGAAGCTATGTGTGGTGGCTCATACTTTTATGCAAGCACTTGGGAAATAGAAACAGGATGATCAAGTTCAAGGCCAGCCTTGGCTACATAGCAAGTTTCAAGCCACCCAGGGCCGCACAGGTCTCTGTCTAAACAAACCAAAACCAAAGAACCAAAATCAAAACAAAAACTAATGACAGCTTAGACATATTTCACTCTGGGAAAGTCCTTGTAGAGTTTAGGCATTTTCTGCAACCTGCAGAGTTCCGTGAGAAGCTGGGCCATGCCTCCCACTACAGTTAGCGCAGGGCAGCTGGTGCCCTCAAGCCATGGCCTGGCACAAAATGCACAATTAAACAGAGAGGCACTGCTGAGATAGACTGTTAATGACCAGGCGAGTCGCCAATCAAGAGCTTCCTGTGGCTGGCCTCTGAGTGAGGCCTCTGGCCAGCATTCCAATGCCTGCACTTGGGATCTTCAATGGAGGGAATCTTCCTCCTCTAAGTTCCCTACAGTTTGGTTGGGGACACTAAGGGGATTTCCCCCAGCCCCTTTCAATTCCCCGAGGAACCTTGGGCTTGGTTTCCTTGGAAACAGACCCCAGAATTCCCAGGGAGACCCACAGCAGCCAGAAGCAGCTTGGGTAGAGCTAAGGGGAGGTGCTTAGCTGGTTTGAGTGTGCTTCCCAGCTAGTCCCTCCCTGATGTGTCCTTTTGGGTAACTCCCTTCCCGGTGCCTCAGTTTCCTTATCTGTAAACCAAAGGTCACAAGGGAGCAAAGTAGTTGATTTAAAATACTTAGTAAAGTATCTGGGTACCGTGAGGGCTATGAGGCCAGCTGTCTCGTTAGCAGTCACCTGATGCCCGTGGGGGAACTCAAGAACTGACTGACTCAGTGCCTGTCCTACTGTTACCTTTGGGAAGAGAACCAAAGGTGACCAGCAGACCCAAGGCCACTTTCAGATGTGGATGGAGGGAGACTGAGCTACCAGGATGGTGTCTCTCATCCCTGTTTTTGTCAGCTAGATCTCCTCTCCTTGCTCTCCTCATTACACAGTGTGGCCATGTTTCTTGAGGAAGGCTCAAGTCCAGTGTTCAAAATCCAAAGTTTCCCGGCGAGGGACTAAGAGCTGGACAGAGACAGGAAGAGGGCCACAGATAGATAACAAGGGTGGCAAGCTCCCTGACTTCTTCCTCACCCTCCTGACCTGAGACAAAAGCCCCACAGCTTAAAGCTAAGGTCTGGTGGGCTTTTCCTCCTGATAGTACCCTTCCCTTGCCTATGGAGCAGTTGGACAAGTTTAAGGCCAGACCAGCCGGATTCCCTGTCTAAGTTCAAACAGACCAAACCTCAATGGGGGGGGGTGCACACCTTTAATCCCAGCACTTGGGAGGCAGAGGCAAGTGGGTATCTGAGTTCGAGTCCAGTCTGGTCTACAGAGCGAGTTCCAGGGCAGGCTCCAAAGCTACAGAGAAACCTGTCTGGGGGGGGGGGGGGGGCTCACCCTAATGGAAAGGCTCGATTTTAGCCTCCCAAGTCCCTGCTATGTTCTTGCCCTGCAGGGGTTTCTCTCTGTGTCTCTCTGTCTCTGTCTCTCTCTGTGAGTGAGTGGGTGCGCGCTTGCCTGTGTGCATGTTTCCTTGGGCTGATTCTGCCTGCTTCTGTCATCTGTGTCTTGAGATTTTCCCTGCTGCTATCTGTTGTGCTCAGTTCTTTCCCTGCCTTTTAATTCTTTAAGTGGCAAGGAAAATGGACCTAATTAATCAAGGACCCAAGAATGTGACACTGGGGCCCTGGGAAATCTCTCTAAAGGCCTTATAAAACACAGTAGACTCAGCTCAGTGAACTAATTCTTAGGAGAGACAAAACAAGTTTGAGTAAACAGAAGGCTGCTGTGTATGTGTGAGTGTTTAACCATTGCAGAACTTTAGAGCTCTGTGACCTTAGATAAGTTACCAAACATCTCTGTTCCTCCATTTCTTTAAGTGACTGTGAGGGTTAAATGGATGCATGGAAAACCGGCCATCCCTGTATGTGAGCACAAGCTAATATTAATTTAATTTCCATGATCATGCATGAAGTAGAATGAACAATCATCCCCATTTCATGGTTGAAAAAACTGAGGCACAAGGAGCTTGCGCTGGGTGACTTATGTCAACTTGATACATGCTAGAATTATCTGAAAGGAAGGAACCTCAGCCTCAATGCTGTGATTTTCTTAATTAGAGATCAATGGGGGAAGGTCTAGCCCATGGTGGGCGGTGCTGTCCCTGGGCAGGTGGTCCTAGATCCTGTAAGAAAGCAGGCTGAGCAGGCCGGGGGAGCAGCCAGTAAGCAGTACTTCTCCATGGCCGCTACACCAGCTCCTGCCTCCAGGTTCCTGCCCTGGTGGAGTTCCTGTCCTGAATTCCTGTGGTGATTGCCTGTTTCCTGGAAGTGTAAACTGAAATAAACCCTTTCCTCCCCAGGTTGTTTTGGTCATGCTGTTTCGTCACAGCAATAGAAACCCTGACTAGGATGGAACTAAAAGACATATTCTGAGCCTAGACTCGGAACCTTAGCTATGCTGTTAGGCTTGCACCCCCATTGCCAGGGCTAACAGTTACCTATAAGAACCAACTCCGATTTCCAGCAGAAAGTGGCTAATGGAGGAGTGCACGTCTCTGTCTGCCTGCAGGACTCCCTGC